TTTCGCTTATCGCACGTTTAGAACCATCCCACAAATGTACGTTAGACCCGGAGCTTGCGGTAGACCTATCTACCGCTCACAGAGATTTACTCCAACTTTTAGATTCCTCCTCCCTTATTGCATGAGACAAAGCATGCAACACCTATTACTCTTTAGCTAACAAATGTGGCCAACACTTGGCACATGTAATACATCCCCATCCATCCCGTCGTCCGATTCAATACATCAAGGCGCCTGATAATTCTAAACTCTACCACAATATGGAAATCTATTCTGTGTTTGTACTATTATTCTCAACTGTATAATCTCTCCTCGGCAAATCCTGATACACCCCCCCCCCCCCCCCCGTTTCCTCCCTGCCAGCTATGTCCCAGTATATTGCGGAGACGGCGTTACCTGTCCTTGATGCCCAAGACGCATTGGATCTCAAGGAGCCCTTCTCGCTTATAGAAGTTCTTGGGGCAATTAGGGCCCTGAAAAATGGTAAGTGCCCGGGTCCAGACGGATTCACCCCTTGCTTTTACAAAACATTTGCTGCCCAATTGGCTCCACTTCTGGCCCGAGCGTTTAATGTCATCGACGGTTCAAATGTGCCTTCGTCAGCTTTTCTGTCCTCTACCATTTCGGTTATCCCTAAGCCAGGTAAAGACCCTTCCTATTGCAGTAGATATCGCCCGATTTCTCTACTTAACCTGGACATAAAGCTTTTTGCTAAACTTTTAGCGAACCGTCTTTCCCCTTTTCTATCAACCTTGATCCACCATGACCAGGTTGACTTTGTTCAGGGTCGCAAAGCATGGGATAATACTTCCAAAACGATCCATCTTATCTCTTACATCAAGCAGAACACTTTAAAGGCTTGTCTACTCTCATTTGACGCTGAGAATGCATTCAATCGCTTTGACTGGCGCTTTCTCCATCTTACCTTGAAACAGATAGGTTTGGGTTCGCGGACCCTCGCTCGGATTATGTCCCTCTACTCTCGTCCCTCAGCGTCTGTCCTGGTTAACAGTACAATTTCCTTGTCCTTTCCCATATCAAATGGGACCAGACAAAGATGCCCCCTCTCGCCTCTTCTCTTTTTTAGTAATGGAACATCTTGCTGAACCATACGAGCTAACGACTCAATACTGGGCATATATACTCCCTCCGCGCACCTGCTAGTTTATGTTCAACAACCACTTGTCTCCCTCCTCGGTCTTTTCCACGAATCCGTAGATTTGGTTCCTTCAGTAACTTTAAACTTAATATCTCTAAAATGGAGGCCCTCAATATTTCTCTATCTGCCCATGTATTGGCGAACCTTCAGCCTAATTTTTCCTTTCAATGGCGACCTAAGGCTATCACATACCTGGGGGTCCTGATTTCGGCTGATGTTAATGCTTTATATTCTCTTAATTATTTACCCTTACTTTCACATATTCAAAAAGATTTGGCTACATGGGGCACTTCAGCCCTGCCCTGGTTTGGCCATATCAACACCCTCAAGATGGATACCTTAGCTAAGCTATTATACGTTTTTCAGACGAAACCGATCACTGTCCCTAAGAGTTTTTTCCTTTCTTTACACTCCCTTTCGATTCGATGCATTTGGCATCGTGGGTTTTCTAGGTTAAAACACAGGTTACTTACCCGAAACTTGAGGGCGGAGTGGGTTTACTGGACTTTGAGCTTTATTACAGAGCTGTGTTGCTAGCCCGGATGCTTGATTGGTTTCCTAGACCTTTTCGTAAAGCCTCTTGTATGATTGAACAAGATCTTTCACAGGTGGATCTTTGGGCATTACCATGGGGGTATGATTGGAACTACCAGCGTTTTTCCGGCTTGTCCCCTTTGACCTTAGCTGTGATGCGGCTGTGGTATAAACGAGGCACAGTTGCTCTCTTATCTTCCAATCCCTCTCCTTTGTCATCCCTATTTGATAACCCCACTCTTCCCCAGGGATTGGGCTCCTCTATTATTGGACCCATTACACGTGCCTCCTGACTCGTAGCTCAGGACTTTATTTGCCCCCAGTCAGGTCTTCCGCTCCTTCAAGGTGGGTCTAGAGATTGGTTGACCACTCTACACCTATCCTCATTTTGCAAGCACTTACACTCTTCCTCCAACATCCATCGTCCACTTTCTGGGATTGAATGGCTGTGCTCCCTCCGTGAACCGCCGAGACACGTCCTTGCCTCTCTATAAAGTGCTCCATAATGCTCTTTACTCTGAACTCCCTACCTACACTAAGACATGGGCTTGAGACCTAGGTAGAGAAGTGTCAGAGGAGGAATGTTCCACGTCGTTCCACTTTACTCATAAATCGTCTATTTCTTGCTATTCACAAGAAAAGAATTTTAAGCTTCTTTCCCGACGGTACAGGGATCCCCTCTCCCTACACAAAATTTTTCCTTCTACACCTGATCTTTGTTGGCGCTGTGATAGAGCTGTTGGTACGCAACTCCACATTTGGTGGGATTGTGATCAAATACAACCCTTTTGGCGGCAGGTGTTTGCTGTATATAACAAGATCTATGGGGAGTCCTTGGTCCCTTCGCCGGAAATTGCTCTTCTCTCTACATTACCGCGCTCACGGGCAATACAGAAGAAAAGTCTGTTGTGTTTCTTCCTGTCTGCAGCCCGCCAATTAATACCTCTCTTTTGGAAAACGGCTATCCCCCCTCCCAATGTGGGTCTCCGTGCTTAATGATACCATGCGTATGGAGGAAATGCTAGCGTTTACCAATGATACCTATGATAAACATAAGCTGTTGTGGTCGGTCTGGCTCCATTTCGCCTCCTCTGCGACTCTCCGTGATATATGTGCCCCTGTTGCGCTCTAGTGGTGTTACACCTTGCCCCCCTGACTCGATCTCATTTTGGCTTATCCGCTGCTTGGACCCTGTGGTACATGTCGTGATGTGTGCGTCAGCGTTGTTTACATGAGACACACATGGGCAGCTATCCCATTGCTGCTTTCTGCCGTCCCCGTTCCCCAATTCCTTTTTTTCTTTCTCCTCCTTTGATACCCTTTCCACTGACCCCTTCTTTTCTTTTTCCTTCTGTTTCCTCCTTTTTTTTTTTTTTTCCTTTCTCTTTCTCCTCAATTCAGCTTTACTATCTTGGTTGTGCGGAGTTCTTTCATATTGGTCCATACATTGTTCCAGGGGATACCCCCATGGCAATCTGTTATGTTTTGCCTCCGTAATATGGGTTATCAATCCTTTCATCTTACTGTTATATTGCACTATTCTCATTTACCCACATGGATCATAACCACCTCTAAAATGGTTTCTTTTCTCTTTTTGCTTATGTACTTCCCATGCTCTGTTTGTTAAATTTATGTAAAATAATAAAGACAAATTTGCCTTTAAAAATATTTGAACAGAATAAACTAACTAGCTTTGACAAATCAATCAAGTGAAGCCAGCCAGATACATTATTCCTGATAAGCATGTGCATTTGACTTTGCTAAATGTTTTTTTTTTTTTTTTATTTAAAATGTAGATATCTGACCATAATTAAAGATACCAACTGTATTACATCTATATTACAGTTAGAGTAAGGTTCTTAAATGAAGACTAGGAAGAATAATTAATATAGCTTACCTGTATTATCATACATAAATAATATAACTATACATAACTATAGGCATTTCTAAAAACCATAATTTGCAACAAGCTACATTTTCTTTAATCTTTGATTTGAGCTTTGAACGGTGTATGATTTTTTATGAGTTACTTCATGCCTTTATTTGTGTCAGCTTTTAGAGAATGATGCTGTTAAAAGGCACATTAAGACACAGAATACATATGTAGCCATTAGCTCTGTGTCATCATTCTGCCCATTTTGCTATGTCTTATTTGCGCAGACAAAAATGTACATGCTGGCCTTTCACATATAATTATACAGAATATTTCACAAGTCAGTATTAATGATGCAGGTATAAGAGTAATGGTAATTCAGTGAGCAATTTAGAAGGCATATGACCCTCACTAACACTTTATGGGCAGAAAAGCTACTGATAAAAACCCAATAAATAACTAAGCGCTGGAGAGATTCCCAGCTACACTTACATTATTCATTTGGCTATGGAATAAGTTCATCAGAATATTCCACTATTCAAAGATTCCTATCAACGCCAAGGAAACCGTATGTTATTAACCACTTGACTAAATGTTCATTATTTCTCAATAATTGCTTTCTACCATCATTTAGCCATAGATGGACATAGTGAGAATGATTTATAAAACAAAGGAAAACAATTATTATTATTACAGGAGATGGTTATGGGGTCCACTAAACACCCAGAGATAAATATGACAGAAAAGATCTTCAAAGTGTCTGAAGCACGTATATTCTGTTTAAAACAAACTTTCTGCTGGAGCATACTCCACTAAGAATAAGTTGACTATAAGTGCATTTTTCTTGAAAAAAAATTTGAGATTTTGTTAGTCATACATATGAGCTACAGCTATACCAGGTTTGAGTCTGAGGCAGATCCAATGTGTTCAATGTTTGTGGTCCAAATTAATTAATGTGGAAACTAACTAGGCCAAATTTATTGTAACCATAATGCATGGCTTAGCTTTGGATCTTAAGGTTTTACTAAACCCAGGACCCTGCATTCACTCTATCTGGTCTCCCACAGTACACAGAACATGGAAGTGCAATTATTTTAGTAAGTATAAACTGCCAAATACCTTTTCTCATCAGTTAGAGCAGTCTCGTGACTTCTATCAGTGTCCAGCCGAGCACATGTTAAAGCTTTAAGGAGGAGTTTTCATTCTGCTCTGGGAGGATGCAGAACAACTGATCTATGTCTGGACAGTGCTGATTGGTCCGGTGCTGATCACATGCACCCTCCCAAGAAAAACAGGAGAGTGTCCCCCTCTTAGCAGGAGATAAGAGGGTGGCACTGAAAGAAGTGGAGGATCAGAAAAGACAGGATGATCAAACAGTGTTTTTATGCAATGCAGATGATTAACCTCCCTAACGGTAGTGTAGCTCGGGGTAAAATGTCTGTACCAAAAGCGGTAACCCCGAGCTACATTCGGGCTTACCATGCGGCGCTGCATAGGGAGTCCCTCCAGCACTTACCTTGTCCTTCGCTCCCACGATGTGTCCCCTGCAGCATCCCCGACCATCTCTTCCGGCTGATGCCGGCATCCGGCTCCTGTGTTCCGGTCCCTGTGACGTCGGGACGTACGGGCACCGCCGGTGGCGGGAAATTTGAAAATTTAAAAAAAATTAATTTTTTTCAAAACGATTTTACGTAGTAAAACATTGCTGTTTCAACCCATTTCACATACATTTTGTCCCTAGTGCTCTGTCCTGTCCCCTGTCTGCATTTTGACTGTTCTTTCTGCCTGGAAACTTAGAAAAGTCCATGGCGTCCAAAAAGTGTCCCTTTAGGTCAAAAGCGGTTTTAGACCGGCTAGAGAACAGCGATAGTAAATTAGAACCACTTGCAGAATTGAGTGATAATGATTCGTGGAAAAATTTGTCATCAGACACTGAAAACAATTCTGCTACTTTGCTCAGCGATGTGCGAACTTGGCGCTATATTTCAAATTTCAGTGTTTTTGGTTTGATTATTTATTAAATTATAATTTATGATTTTGTGTTTCAAATTTTATCATACCCGGGATGTTTACTAGACTCTTGTTCGGACAGATTTCAGTGAGTTATTCCTAAATATTACAGGCCTACAATAAAAAAACGACATATTTCCATACAAAATAATGGTACCGCTTTCAGCACCAAAAATCTGAAATAATCATACCGCAAGGGAGGTTAACCCCTTAGGTTTGAAAGTGAGTATAACAAGCATGCTTTACTGCATATACAGACTGATTTTACTGTTGTGGGTTTAGTAACACTTTAAGTCAGCTGGTATGGAAGCCAGCCCCCTTACTATAAAAGGGTAAGGTCACAACAGCCATATTAGCATTGTGCTGCTGGCAAACAGCCCAGGGAGAGATCACTGTATCCACTGGTAGGGCTGTTAAAATTGATTTATACTAAATGTCATGTAGGTAGTAAAATGCTGTGCACTTTAGAGATTTGGGGGGAAGTTACCTTTTTTTCTTCATTTATTTCATCTAAAGCTGGTCAGAGATGCTTCATGGCGCCATGAGCAGTGGTGCCCGACATGACTGAGTGAAGCCCGGTTCCTGACGGCCTTCAACTTCCCTGTACTGACCTGAGGGACCCCAGCAGACGAGGAGCAGGGGCAACCGTGGTGCACCGGTGGCCGGTCAGTGCTGGTGACATCTGGCAGGAGTGGAGGATCCTCCTGGAGCAGGGTCCATGGAGCGGCCCGAAGGTCTGTAAGCGGTTGCTGGAAAGTGTCATGGAACAGAATGTCACAGAACAAGGAGCTATGTTACAAATACATACAAAAATGTACATGGCGAAAATGTTCGCAAAATTGGAGATGTGTCTGAAAAATTAAAAGGAGGTATTACGCAATGACTTGGATACTAACGCAAGCGGAAGAGACAGAGGAGAGAATGGAAGCACACACTCAATTAATTAATACATTGGAAATGCAGGTGGAGGACATGCGTAGAGAACAGAGAAAGCTTTAATTTAAATTAGAGGACCAGGAGAAATGCGAAAGAAGAAAGAACCTAAGGATCCAGGGCTTACCAGAAGAAGAACAGGAAGAGGACCTAGAGGAAAAAATAAAGAGAGTGTGTAATCCAATAATAAGAAGACCTCTGATAGAAAACCTGCAAATTGAGAGAGCACACAGGATTAGACGGCCATTAGAAGTATCGGTGAATAGCTCCAGAGACGTGATTCTATTACTATGCAGATAGACAAAGAATATGTGTCTACGTGATACTACCCAAATTAAATTTGAGGAAACAAAGTTGTACATCTTTACTGACATTTCCCCCAGAGACACTGGCAAGAAGATAATTGAAACCGCTATTGGAGCATATGAGAGAGAAAAAAATTTGATATAACTGGGGCTTTCCAGCATGCCTGGTCGGCTGGAAAAACGGAAAGTCTGATTGAGGTTCCTTGAAGACTACAGTGATTTCAGCAAGAAGTTAGACTTGCAAAAATAGAACTTGAAGGGTGGTCAGAAAGACTTAGTGTGAGTGGCGGAAAGGGAGCAGGAAAATGGCAGTGGGTACCTAGGAAGAAGTAGGGAGGCAGGGTGTAGAGGAGAGTGGGCCAGTGGGTAAGGTCAGAGAGTGGGAGAGCCTGGGGATGCGTGGGGTGGAGAGTCCCTAGGTATTTCTTGGAGAGGAGGATGATGCCCCTTCTCTCTCTCTCTCTCTCTTTTTTTTTCTCTCCACCACCTTCCGGTCCTCTCCTGGCTGCATAATAGTTTCTCTGCCCTTGGTTCCTCCTTGCCCAGGCGTGACGAGGAGTAAAGAGAATTTTTTGTTTTGGAGGGTTTCCTGGAGATCAGATATGCTGTCAAACCCCAATCTAATGATAAGAACTTGGGATTGGAGTGGGCGTGTGTGTTTTGAGCCTCACCCCAAATTAGGACTCACTAGTGGAAACAACTCATGACAGACTCAAGGGCAATATGTAGGCCATGAGGGTTGTAGGATTAGGGCAAGTGGGGGCGGGGGGATCCTGTGGTTGCTGGGGGGGGGTGGGGGAAGGAGGGGGAGAGATGGAGGGGTTGTAGGAGGGGGTGGGGACGTCCAGATCTTAAGTTCACTATGTCTGAATCCCTGTGCTGGGAAAGTGGATAAGATAGTGAAATAACTTCAGAAATTAGCCTGATTAAGTTTATGACTTACAATGTGAAAGGATTAAATTCCCCAATAAAAGACATAAGATACTTAGGGAAATATACCAACACTCCATAGACATAGTGTTCCTACAAGAGATTCATATAACCCATGATAAAAATGTTAAGTTATACTCAAAGTACTATCCAAGGTGGTACTATGCAGATTCCCCAGTTAAAAGGGCTAAAGGAGTAGCAATCGGTTTTTTAAAAAAATGTTAGCTTTACCATGGAGGGGAGAATGGAGGACCCAGAGGGTTGGTTTCTATCCCTGAAGGGAAGGTTGCAAGGAATTGAATATACACTAGTTAATATCTATTGCTCGAATAAGAACCCAATAACATTCTTGGAGGGTGTATTAAGAAAATCTCTGGATTTAAAAGGGGCATCCTGGTTGTGGCAGGAGATTTTGGATCCATAACTGGGTACGTCATCTGGCATGCAGAGAGAGGGTGGTAGGAAATAACAATTATTGAAGAGGTTATTACACCAAGGTGAATTGATCGACACTTGGAGAATAAAACATCCAAGAGAAAAAGAGTACACCTTCTTCTCTCTAATACACAGAACATAATCAAGACTGGACTATATAATGATCGAGCATAGACAACTTGAGTCGCTGGTCAGCTCAAACATAGAGGTCATGTCTATCTCTGAACTTGCTCCAGTCACAATGAGACTGTGGTTTGGAGTGGATCAGGACAAAACAACCAAGTGGAGACTAAATGAGATGCTTATACAAAACCCTGAAATAGAGAAAAGGCTAAGGCTGGAAATAGAGCAATTTTTGGAGTTTAATGAGACCAAGGAGATTTCTGTGTCCACAATTTGGGAGACACATAAAGTATATAACAGGGGAATACTGATTGCGATAGGGAATGAAAAAAAGAAAGAACAGGGGGAATAAATAAAGAGGGTGATGGAGGAGCTATATAAGTTAGAACAGTTACAAAAAAAGAAGAGAGGTATGGATTTATACCAGAAGATAATCCTTAGAAAAGAAGAACTAAAAGATCTGATGAAACAAGAGTTGAGGAAGATATTTAATAGAGTATCAAAAGAAAGATATCAGTGGGGGAATAGACCTGGAAAACTTCTAATGCGGAGGCTAAAAGAAAAGAAATCCAAAAAATGTATAGATAAAATTCAAACTAGCAAAGAAGAAATTACATTTTAATACCAGCTTGGTCTTCTCTGTAAAAATGTCATCAGGAACTCCCAAAATACATACCAAACACTTTAGGGTCTGGTATGTATTTTGGGGGACCATTGGGAAAGGTCTTTTTCTATCTTTCCAAAATGTCACTTTTGCTGCAGTACATCCTACAGCAAAAATGACAATAAAATCTTATTTGTTAAGGGTCTGTTATAACATTTTGGGGAAAAATACAGATATTTATCTGCAAACTGAATTTCCAGAAATCTTCCAGGACAGCTTACATGAGAGATAGAGGCCCCTAATACCACTAGGAAACACATGATCCACTTCTTTGATAAAAAAAAAAAAAATAGACCCAGGTCCTCAGTATTGGAATATAACTGAAGGCCTAAGAAAGAACATAAAGGAATATCAAAGTTAATATATTGTACCTTGCACTACATAGAGTTCAAACTGCACTGTCCTGGAAGATTTCTGGAAATTCAGTTAAGAGGACAGCTTACATGAGAGGATGGACTAGAAATACATACTTTTAAGGGGGCACCATGGCCTGCAAAACCTTCCTTTTGAATGACTGGAGGACCAGTCTAAGTGATAGTGCTTGATGAATGTATGAAAATTGGACCAAGGGGGTGCCCAGCAGATCTACCATAAGGAGGAACCAGCTTTTTCAGCCCAGGAAGTAATTGTTGCTTAAGTGGAGTGTGCTGTGCTTTAATTCCTTATGGGGGAGGAAAAGTTGCTGCTTTATATGCCTTCATTAAGGCTTACTTTAACCATCTTGCTATGGTGCCTTGTGCTGCCTTGAGGCCTTTCTTTGGTCCCTTGAACAAAACAAATAGGCTGGATTCCAATCTCCACTCTTTTGTTTGTTCATTGTAAGTAAGACACCTTCTGACATCAATATTGTTATACTCCTGTTCCTTTACATTGTCTGGATTGCCACAAATAGAAAGAATAGCTATTTCTTCTGTTCTGTGAAAATCAATAGACGCCTTTTGAAGGAGCACAGGATCTAAAGTTTCGGATAATTTTATCAATCAGAATGTTGTAATAGGGTTCTCGAGCCAAAAGCATATGTAGCTTGCTAATCATCCTTGCCAAAACGAATGCAACCAACAGAACTGTCTTTAGCATAAGATATTTTAACGAGCACATCCAGAGGTTCAAAGTGTTCTCTGTTCCTAAATCCAAAGATGGGAATTTACTTTTAGTTATAATTTTGCTAATCAAGTCCAGGGGTGATTCATATCTGGCCAGAGGAAAACATAGACATGAAGAACTGGTCTATGGCAGTTTTTTTTCTTTGTTTTTACTAGAAGTGAATTATGTGTTTCCTGGTGGGAGGAGCATCTCTCTCTCATGTAAGCTGTCCTGGAAATTGACTTTCTTTTCTGTTATAGAATTTTGCAAATAAATAATCTCTCTTCTTAAATTTAAGCCA